TGGTATTGCCCATCTGGTGATTTCCATGTATAGAGTCACCTCTTGTGTTGTTGGAAAAGAGTATTTGTTATGACCACCTTATTCTCTTGACAAAACTCTATTAGCCTTTACCCTGCTTTGTTTTGAATTCCAAGGCTAAACTTTCCTTTTATCTCCCTACTTTAGCATTCCAATCCCCTATAACGAGAAGAACATCTTTCTTTGCTGTCAGTCCTAGAAGCTGTTTTAAATTTTCATAGAACTGGTCAATTTCAGCCTCTTTAGCATCAGTGGTTGGTGCATAAATTTGGATTACTGTGATGTTGAAAGGTCTGCCTTGGATTCATATTGAAATCATTCTATCATTTTTGAGATTGTATCCTAGTGCAGCTTTTCCCACTCTTTTGTTGACTATGAGGGCTACTCCATTTCTTCGATGGGATTCTTGCCCACAATAGTAGATTTGAATTCGCCCATTCCCATCCATTCACTGACGCCCAGGATGTCAATGTTTGTTCTTGCCATCTCCTGTTTGACCACACACAGCTTACCAAGGTTCTTAGATCTTACATTCCAGGTTCCTATGCAGTATTTTTCTTTACAGCATCGGACTTTCCTTTCACTTCCAGGCATGTCCAATAAAAGAATTCCACATTATTTCATCTTATTGTATCTCTAAATCAAAAGGAAAGCTTGTGGAATAGTAGCTCCTACAAAAATCATTTACAAGGATTTCAAAATAAGCAGACAGATCAGCTCAAAAGTCGTAGTGACTGAAATCCTGTTGCTTAATGTAATAAGCCCCAATTATAGTTCTGCTTTTAGGTCTTAATCCCCAGATTACACTTACCTGTGCAAAATTTCTCACAGCTGCATGTAAAATAAGAAAGATTTAATGGATAATGATTTTAAGCTATGAATTTCCTTTAACTCTTTTTTCCTCTGTTTTAGCATTATGACTGTCATTTAAATGTAACCTGTATTCTGTTTAATGTCTTTTGCTAATGAGCTAAACTAAATAAACAAACAACTACAGTAAGGCCACTGAAACAATGGAACTTGTAGATTTTTAGGCCTTCTCTAGTTGTGACCCATTGCATTTGGCAACGGGATTTCAGCAAGTGTGTTTCAAACTGATGAAGCACTAAGACAGTTGTGTACATGAAAAATCTTCAAATAGATAGGGCTTACTCCCCCCCCCCAAATAATGTCAGTTCTCAGATAATGTGTTTTAAGAAATGGGAACTTCAGATAAGCAAGGGTGTAAAAAAGAAATGTAGTCCTCAGTAGAGGGGAATCTACTGCATATGTTTGCTGTAAGATTAAAAACTTACAGGCTAAACATACCCAGCTCTTTTGACCACTCTTCACTGGACTAGGTTTCCAGATCCCTGAGTATATTGGCTACTTTCATCTGGAAATGCTGTAGTTCGTCAGTGTTCTTAATGTCTTGTAGTACGAAGATGGTATGACTCCAAATGTGGTCTGCTGTAGGATAGAGAAAACCTCTGTTTCCTGTAACCTTGAAGGTAAGGTTGACTCATGTTCAGCTTGTGATTCACTATGGCTGAATTCACGTTGGCTGTTTCTTGTATATCAAGGCTGTCAAGCAGTGTCTTCCCCATCCTACAGCCAAGCAATTAAGACAAGACTTTACAGTTGTCTCTGTTGAATTTGGTCTCATTTTGAATTTTATCTTGGTTGAATTGTTAGTTTTGGCCCAGTCTTCAAGCCTGGATTATGATCTCTTCTTTTGTGGTGTTGGCTGTTCCTCCTGGCTTTGTGTCATCTTCACATTAGATAAACAGTCATTCTATAGCCTGATCCAGCTCGTCTAAATGTCACAAAAATGTTGGCCTAAGATAGGCCCCAGCAGCACTCCATCTGAGATTTCTCTTCAGTAGGATGCTTAACAACTAGTTCACCATCTTTAGTGTGATTATTCAACCAACTGTGGATTTACTTAACAATATTAGTGTACAACATTTTTCTCTCTTCTTGAAAATGATGTGGGAAACCTGATCAAACGCTCTGCTGAAACGAAGGTATACTATATCCATATTATTTCTGTTATCGTCTGTTCCTAGCCTTGGGTAACACAAGTGTACTTGAACTGTAGCTCGCAGAAATCCTGGCAACACAGCTGATGGTGAAGGCTTCTGGGAATTGCAGTCCAAGAATGCCTGGCTTACCCAAGGTTGGAAACCACAGTTCTTGCTTAATGAGTTGATCAGGTATGGCTGGAGTGATTCATTTCTGACAGCTCATATTCACTTTAATATACAGTACAGTGCATTATCTTCTTAATGCCCTTCTGTCCATTTGCTTACTAATATTTTCTTTTGCTGTAGTTACAAATGTTAGAGCAAAATTAGTGCATAATCTTGTGACAAGAATCACAAGATTTCCCTTTCTTGGCACATGTCAAGAACTTTTAAAATGTTGTTAGCACAATATTGTGGCCCCCAAACAATTAGTGAGCCTTGATTTACCCAGAACCTGTTTCAAGAAGTTAGCCAGTGTCCTTCAGTGTAAGTATCCCACTGTAGCAGAGATGACATCACCAGCAGTGGCATATTAAAGAGGCCCTCTTTCAGTTTCAGGTAGTGTGTAACCCATGCACAAAGAAATGAAGTTGCGCATAATCTGAAATTGAAGCAAAGACTCTTTTAAGTGGTGATAATGTGTTGCTGCTTATGACAGCATTCCTACTGTGCTCTGTAGCTATGTGACAAGGTTTTGGCTATAGCCATTAATTTACCAAATGTAGTGGATTAATTTTGTAGATTAATTACATTGTTTATCCCTTTCTCATAGACTAAAGCCAAGCTATGCTTAACTTAGATCTTGTCAATGCAGACTTTTTGTTAGTTCCTTTACTTTGGATGTCCTTCTGCTATCTGCATGTATGCTTTCTGTCCCCTCCATTCCCAGACACTTTGGCACTGCAGAAAAATGTTGTGTCCCCTGAGGTGTCTAGATAGGAGGGGAGAGAAGAAGGTTCTGCTGTATGTAAACGCTTGTTTTCTTAGAGGCCTAGTCAGAAATTTTAGGGGCTGTAAAAGAAATGTCTCTTTGAAGAAACGGGTGCTGTTTTTACATAATGGACTAGTGAGTTCATGTGTCTTATCATTGTGTGGTAGAAATACTTTAGAAAGATCTTCAAACTGAATTCCCATGTAGTTATTTGAGGGAAACATCACATATGTTTTCCTTTTTCTTGAAATAAATTATAGGTTACAGATTCCTCCTGCAGTTCATGTATTTTGAGCTATTGTTCTGTATAGAAAATGATCTGTTTTGGACCTTAGTGCTCCTGGAGCTTATGAACTTCTAAACACTGGAATGTAATCCATGTTACATTCTCCCAGTTATGTTTGTATGATCTTCTTACAAGTCCTCTTCTCCTTTCTTCTGCTACTCAGTCTGTGAATAGCTAGTACAAAATACTTTCACATATTTAGCCACATTTGTGGTCAGTGCACTATATCTTCTCATATGGTAACTTTGAGGTCAAGACCAAATATATTAACAAATGTGACATATTTACTAGTGTCAGCAGCATATGAGTAATCATGCCTAATATCAACAGAATCATTGATTTCAGTAGAGACTATTTCTGTTTTTAGGATGTAACCCTTTATCTTTTAATCTCGCCTTGAAAAATAGTTTTTTTCAGTACCTTCACTGGACTTGTTTATTACAATATGTGCATGCTGTTCAATTTAATCACTTCACGATAAAGTAGGTTCTTGAGAATTAGAGTCCCTGCTCAGATAGAGCAGTATGCATTCAAGGTGATTAATTTCTTTTAGAATTTGTTCATTCCACACTTCTCTGTTTTCCCTTCCAATTGCTGCACCAGTTACCTTGTTCCTTCAAAGCAAGCTCAAAATGTCTCAGTGGTGGAAACAGATAATTTGTACAGGTCTCTTTTACACTTCATTTGGCTACTATGTTCAGTATTAGAATAATAATAAAAACATGTTATTAATTTTCTGTGCAAGTGTTCAATATGTTATTTTCAGTTTTAAGTAACAATGTGTATGCTTGTTTGTTTGTTTTTATGTAAAACACAGCTGTCTGTGAAAGTGGGTGCCAGAATGGTGGTCGTTGCATTGGACCCAACCGTTGTGCATGCGTGTATGGATTCACGGGTCCACAATGTGAAAGAGGTAGGAATTAAAGATTAGAGGAAAATGAATATATTTAAATTGTAGAAATCATACCATCATTTTATATGTTATAAACCACCTAAAACATTTACTGTACATGAAATTGGGGTCAGATGGTTACTTCCCACACTCAACAATGTGTATTCTTTTTATGTGATAAATATGTTCTTTCAGATCAAAATTCCAGAAATACTTTAAAAGAAAGCAAAAAAGTTTCATTTTTTAAAATCTCTAAAATTCTTCTGCATAACATTTAGCAGGACTTTGTTAATGCATAACAATTGAAGGATTTGTTGGATTGTGGGTCAACAAAGATACCTATACTTGGAAAATCTATTACTTTCTGTTTTTGAATGAATTTCTTAAAGCAGAAGCAGTAGTTATTTGTTTTGTAGTGTACAACTGCTCAGTGTACAAGGTTTTAGGCAAAATGTAAGTATTTTATACAGTAGGCAGCCCCCTCCCCCATATACTTCTTGGTTCATGGGGTGGGGAGCAGTAACTAAGTTTTGATGAGTCCAGAAGACCTTCAAGATATTTTTAAAAATTGATCTAATTCAGATTAGCATTTTTCCTTTCTGCACTAGGCAAGGTGCTCTATACCATGTATAGAGAAGATAGCATCCTGCATCAATATGGAGGGAACTGTGTCTCCTACTTTTCTGGCTCCTGTATCATTTTGAAATGTTAGATATTGTATATCGCCTACATTTAGATCTTCTTCATTGCCTTGACTTTTTCTTCCACTGCTGTGTTGCTTTAAAACAAGACTTATTTTACCAGAGTCTTCCCCATGTGGTTGCAGGCTTTGATCCATGGAGTCTAGGTCCTTGGATCCTTCTGCTCATCTGCTAACGGTATCTCCTTCATCCATAAATTTCTTTCAGGGTTTCGTTGTTGTTGTTTGTTTTACTATGGGTGAAATTCATCGGTTCTTTCTACCAAAGGAGTACTGTTGTTTTTGTTGATTGACAGCAGCTACATATTCAGAATTCATCCACCTGCTTTGCAAATTTAGATTGCCCCTTTATACTGGAGCCATTGTATTACCAGCATTTAACTCTCAGTTATTTCAGAGAGCTATTATTTCTCTGAAAGAAGATGTGACCAGTCATGTATGAATAGGGTTATATGGCTGCTTCTATAATTATAATTAACAAATATTTTGGGCTTACAGAATGCAAACACATATAGTCACAACTGTTTTATTTACAGCCACTGTGCTTATAATTTGTGCTGCTTTGGGCACCTTTTTATATGAAAGATATATTGAGTTCAGAATATTGTGTTGTGTCTAAATGATTTTTTTTTATTCTTTCCTTTGTGTAAGCAACAGCTATAATACCCCTAATCTACTGCATCTCTCTGTAGATATTTTTGAATGCCTTACACTGTGTGCCTTTGTGTAGGAGATCTTTACAGTATAGTCAATTCTGTTGTACAATCATATGCATATTTAATCAAGAGTATGACCTATTGTGCTTGTGGCGCAATGTATATATGGTAAATTTCTTCAGTGGTATTGTTTAACTGGTAATAAGTGTAGAACAAAGTTTATCGGATGTATTTGCGAAGGCTTTCATGGCCAGGATCTAATGGTTGTTGTGGGTTTTTCAGGCTCTTTGGCTATGTTCTGCAGGTTGTTCTTCCTAACAACACCCATCAATCACAGTGACAGATAATCTCTTCTCCTTATCACAACAATGCACCCGCAACAAAAACACAGTGATCACCATAATCACCCATCTCCTGAAAAGGACAAAAGCTAATCCCACAGCTTTAAATACTCAACTCCCAAACAAACTGCACCAGAGCACAGAGTGCTACTCCTGTCCTCTGAAGATGCCGGCCACAGAAACTGGCGAAACATTAGGAAGAACAATCTTCAGAACACAGCCAAAGAGCCCGAAAAAGTCACAACAACCAAAGTTTATTTGGTTTGTATTTTTTTAAAAAGAGGGTGCTTATGGATAAATAACAAAACAATGGCATTAATTTCCTGCTTTACAACCTAACATGTTAGTAAGAGTTCTTAATTAGATGACTTGAACTTTCACAGCTTTCTTGAATAAACTATGTTACTGTTTTTGCGGTGTAATCCTACCCATGTTTACAAAGAAATAAGCTTCTGTATAGAGCGGGATTTACTTCCTAGTAAGTGAATTTAGTATTGCAGATTTAAAGAATTTATCATGCTAACATTTATATTTTTATACTTTAAAATGCAGAGATTTTACAGTTCTGTAAACCAAGGTAATTTAAATTCAGCATTTCCCCCCTGTAATATAGAACACATGTAACTTTCCTTCAGATTGGTCTTCCAAACCCAGTGCTATGATAAAGCGTGACTGCTTGTTCAGCTATCTGGGTTTCATGCAGACTAATTTCCGGGCTGGAGACAGGAGACTGAGCAATAACTAATCACTGGCATGATTGTAGTATATTTAGCTTGAAGCTTTGCTGCTGGGTTACAAGAAGGCAAAATCTTTTTTGGACTCTCTTATTCATATATGTTTCTCTCACTGTTTGTATCCATAATTGGAAAATGTTACTGTGGTCGTCCTTGCTTCTTGGTTTTGAAGATAAAAGCTCTGCTCCTTTGTTTTGAATAGACAAGTGTTGCTTGTGAGACGTAGAATATAATTTGAGTTTCATGCAAATTAATGTATTTATATATTTCTATTATTTATATGCCACCTTTCTCCCCTTAAGAGGACCCAAGGTGGCTCACAGCAAATTAAAATCATACAATAATAACAAGAAAAAAATGCAACTATTTATTAAAATCAATTAAACCTTGATCAAGATTAAAACATTTTAAAACTTTTTTAAAAAGCTTTAATATCATGGTCAATGGTATCAAAAGCTGCTGAGAGCAAAACCAACTGGGACACACTCTCCCTATCTAGTTACTGGCATAGGTTATCCACCAAGACGATCAAAGCTGTATCTGTTTCATAACCAGACCTGAACCCAGACTGAAATGGATTTTGATAATCCATGTTATTCAAGAACCTGAGGAAGTTGGCTGCTGCCACACTCTCCGAAACCTTGCCCCAAAATAGAAAATTGTAATAATGGCATATCCATTATAACAGGACAAGCAGGGGTCACCTGCATCAACTATAGCTTCTAGATCAGAGTAGATCTGAGTGCCTTTGTCCGCAAAGTGCTGTGCAAACTCATCACAGCAGGCTGTTGAGTAGTCATCATCCTTCTCTTGTGGCCATCTGTGCAACAGGCCCTTGGGCACCCAAAAGAGCTGTGCTGGATGGCTCTGTCCAGATACAGTGGTGGTTTAGAATAATTGCTTCTTTACAGCCACCGCTGCCATGGAGCAGCTTCCGATGAGCACTAGCCTGTGTTCAATTGGATCTGCTCTGAATTTTCAGCTATTGTTGCTCTAGTCTCTATCCCATTTATTTCATCAGTTGTTGCTCTAGTCTCTATCCCATGTATTTCATCATCCTCATCTAGTAAACCAAAGAGCTGGACTGACTTCACTCCATGGAAGGGGACACTTAGGAGCGATTGTCAATAGCTCTGGCCATCTCTGCATTCCAGAGATCCACCAAGTCCTCAACAGGATTGCCTGCCAAGACAGCGGGAAACTCCCCAAATGCTGTCAGGAAACCACTTGGATCCATCAGTCTTCTAGAGTGGACCATTTTACTTGGCCTCCCAATTAAATTCACGCACCTCTGAGCTCCAGTAAGCCTAAGCCCTACCTGCTAGTTATTTGACCATGACAACAAAACTACTGAGAATTCCTCCACATCCAAATCATCACCTTCCTGTCTTATGCAGAAAACCGTCAAAAGGGTGCCTACAACATGAATGGAGCCAGATACCACTTAGTACAGACCCATGATGGACACTGAAGTCCCCCTGTTGCAGAAAGCCAAGGCAACTGCAACACCACGCCCAAGACCAGCTGAGCCAGCTCAGGCAGGGAGACTGTTGTGCAGTGAGATGGGCAGTACACCAACAGAATACCTATTCTGCCCTGGATGAATGCACTCAAGTCCAGCAGTGTTTGGGACATACCATCTGGTAAAGATAATTGAATCTCTGTGGACTATTGTAATCCCTCCTCCCCACCCACCAAGTCTGGCTTGCTGCTGCTCAGAGAACCCAGGTGGACAAAGCTGAGAAACTCCCTTGCTTCATCCAACCAGGTCTCTGTAATGCAAACAAGCCCAGCATGTTCATCCAGTATTAAATCCTGGGCGTTAGTATGCTTCCCTTTCACTGATTATTTTTCTCTGGAGGAATGGAAAATAATTCATTTAAATAATTTTCAATAGCCATTGGTTTGAACCCTAAGTTAGCATGTGATATTGCCCCCCCACAGCCCCGGAATAAATACGCGAGACAACAGCTTTGGGGACGTTGGGGCAAAAGCCAGCCACGCCGTTCCAGGGCGCAAAACGCCCGTCCGGCGGCTGAGGAATTTGTTTATTCAAAGCATCTGTGTACTGCCCTTCATCCCATAGATTCAAAGGAGGCAAATAACAAAAATATAATAAATTGTTTGTATCATAAACTGAAAAATATAGCACAAAATCATGACATTAACAATAAAATGAAGTAGCAACTAAAACATTTCTTGGAATAAATGGTAAGGGATTTCTTCAATTAAAAAAATGCATGGAATTGTAAGGATATCTCAGGCTGACAGACATGGAAGCCGGATGATCATCTTTAGGTAGCGCATTCCAAAGCATAAGCCACACCATAGAATATCTCTCCTTTGTCGTTACATTTATTTGTTATATTTCTTTCCCAGCTTTCTTCCAAAAAACTGAAGGTGGCCTATTTGACTCTCAGCTTTGACCTCATAATGGCCCAGTGAGGCAGGTTCAGGCTGAGAGGGAGTGACTGGCTCAATATTGTACACTGAGTTTTTTCATGACTTAGCATGTAACAGAATCTGGATTTCCCAGATCAGCATTCCAATGATTCTGCCATGCTAGCTTTGCTAGCTTTGCTTTGCTGGC